TAATTCATTGAATCGGCAATAATTCACCTCCTAATCACTTCATATGAAGTATAAAGCAGCTTTGATAAATCAAAAGAAATCATATGTGTTCCAATATATCAAAGTAATATGAAAATAAATCATATTTAATATTTTGCATATACTTTCCAAAAACAGAATCTATGAGTAAATACACATGAATAAGAAAACAGATCTTATAAGGGTCAAACAAACTCTTTCACGTTAACTTATTCAGATCTGCTCTTAACATAAGCAAATGAGCAATTATAATTTTAATCTGAAAAGGCAGAATCAGGGGATTTTGGAACTGGATGGTCCCTTGGAAATCATCTGGATTGAAGCCCTCATTTTATAAATGATGAAACTGAGAAAATTCGGGCAACATGCCCAAAGGCTTACTAAAGGCTATCCTAGTAAATGGCAATCTGGACTGGAGGTCATGACCCTAATGCCCAGGCAAGACGGTTCCACTGTACCTCAATAGCTTCCAGACTGAGACTGGCCGTCTTCACTCTTCCCGCCTTTCCTTCCTTTCCAGGAATAGAAAATGAAAATGCATAACTGATCATCCCTTAATGGGCTTATAAAATCATTTTTTAAAGTATAATGGCACTTGGCAAAAGTAAATGTAGATAAATAGCAACTCATATTTCAAGAATATATTCAGGAGTGATCTTATAATTCACACTAAAAATAAAATTTTTTTTCAGAGCAAAAATCATCCCTCTTACAAAAGTATATGCATTTCTTCCAGGAGTACAAAGCTCTTTGGTATTCTACAATTTTAATTCTGTAACAATAAAATATCATCACTATAAAAATCTTTTGACTCAGACAAAAAAAACCCAGGTCATGTCAAGCATAGTTCAATGCAACAGAATTGTCTATAGTCTTGGACTCCATGTCCTTACCTCGCACACACTGACTTGTCAGCCCACTCTAATCTCTTTTCTGCCTCTCCGCTGAAACAGCCTTACTAAGTCAACAATACATCTCTTTCAATAAATCCAATGGTTATTTTTCTGTCCATGTCTAACTCGACTTCTCAGCAATATTGTCATATTTGACTACTCCCTCTCCTATTCTATTATTGTCCCTGTTTTCCTCCCATCTCTTTGTTCCTTCTTGGTTTCCTTTGCAAAATTGTCATCCTCTATTATTACATGCTAGAGTTTCTCAAGGTTCAGTTGTGGACTGTCTTTTTATTTCATGTTATCTTCTTCAGCAAGCTTATCTTGGTCTGTTTTTGTCCTAATCATGCATACTCCAATAACTCCCAAGTTTTATCTCCACTCCAACAAAAATTTCCTGAGTTCTAGACCTCTATAGCTGATTACTTAACATCAATTGGATGTCTCAATAGCAAAGTCGCCTTGTATGTACCCATAATGTTCCTCTGCCTTATCCCATTCCTAACCCAGTCTTGTGTTTCCTCTGAGAGAATGGCACCATTCTGCATCAAGTTGTGCAAATCAGACCGCTAAGTATGATTCTTTACTTCACCCCTTCCCGTGCCCTCCATTTCTAATCCATCTCCAGTTCAGCTCATTCCATCTACTAAATTGCCTTGAATATATCCACTTACCTCACCCCACTACCTTTTTAAGCTACCACCACCTCTCACTAGAGTTGTCTCCCAACTGGTCTCCTTGCACGGCTCTGGTTCTCCTCCATTCATGTCAAAACAAAGGGGTTGACTGTGACAGCACTTATACAACACTCCACCTTACTCTTACTAAAGATGCCCAGCATAGCCTACAGGTATTCCATGATCTGAGGCCTGCCTACCTTTCCAGGCTCATGTCACACCATATTGCTCCACCCCCAAATTTAGCCTCTGGACTCCATCCTTTCTGCAGTTCTTTAAACTCATCATGATTTCTACAACCAGTGGGCCTTTGTATGTGCTATGCCCTCTTTCCAGAATGCAATACCCTTCCTTTGCCTAGGTAACTTCTATATATCCACCAGATTTCAGCTCAGTCAATTTTTCTTCATGGACATCATCACCAATTGCCAAGCCTGGGCCAGATTCTTTTGTTACGTACTGGCAAAGAACCACGTTCCCTTTAGCATTTATCTGAATTTGTAATAATAAACTCACTTTGTTTAGTCAGTCCTATCTTTTCTGCTAGACAAATGTGTTCTTTAGCATCATAGGGAATAGGACTATGTCTATAACCACAGTGCCTAATATATAGTATATGCTTAATAAATCTTTATTGAATGAAATTATCATTGTAACCCTGATGTTAGCAGGTATAATCCAGTTTAATTTTGAAAACATACAAAACAGAATGTATCTAATAAATCTGGTCTCCATTCTTTATTTTTCAATAGACTTAAAAAACAATGCACTCCATTCTTTTAATCAGACTTTCACCTTTGGCCATTCTGCATAACTCATTCACCTAATAACTATTTATTGATGGAGAGAATGTGGAATGGTAGATTAATGCTGCTCTTTGAAACAAATTTTTAAAAAGATATTAACAGTTTACTAATATCAAAGTTTAAAAAGTATTTTTAAAAATAAAACAGGAAAAAGCTCGCTTCATTTCACAAAGATTTCTCCTTTATGTTATTTGAAAAGGGAGATGGAATTCTGGGCGCTGAAGAGGCCAGCGTTAGCATGCATACACACGCGGATGCTACCCTTCTTTCATGGGCTCAAATATGCAACACAAAAGTAAAAAGAGGTTGTGTTTATTTTTAACAGGTAAAAACTGAAGTTCAGTCATTTAACATAGGATAACAAACAAGTCCCGTTACATTGATAACAAAAGGACAGCACGTTTTCTTCGAAAGCACTGCATCTGGTTTGTCTCTGTGCTTGGTCCTGAGTCATCTGGCACATTTTTTTCCCAGGAATTTTCTTTTCAATGGGATGATTGTCTTCAGGGCAAAGAAAGTTTATCAGACTCTAATTCTAGCAATACATATTTTATTCATTATTGTACATGTGCCCCTACCCTGTCTTGTTCCAGCTATCTTACTGCATTCCTATTGACATATTTTTTACAACCCCCTCCCCAAGTTTTATTTACAGTTAAGAATTTGTACATGGCGCAAATCAACTCAGCTGCTCTCAGTGCGCGGAAGTCAAATAATCCTCATGGTGCTGAAACACTTTTCTCCGGCTTTTAAGAAATAATTATGTTAATTTAAACATACACAGAGAATGTTTCTTAGACAAACATAATACTCAAAGCTTATCTGGCAAAAACGAATTGCTTTGTTACTTCTTAGCACAATAAAATATAGTGAGAAGAACCAACGAAAATTTAAAACAAAAACGGGAAACCACATACACTAATCACACAACAGATTGATTGACAAGTTGAAATTCTTCAAAATAGAGTTTCAGTGAGGCTTCTCATTTCCAACAGTCTAGGGAAAAAATCCTAAAAAACCCAAAAGGGGGGTGTGCATGTATGTGCTTTATTGTGGTAAAAACCATATAACATAAATTTACCATCTTACCAAAAGGCCTATTTTGTGTATGTGGCTCTTTGTTTACTTAAGAGTTTTCTCCCTTAACGTTTATAAGTAACATTTAGAAAAAGTATTAGTTATTACAAGAAGAATGATCTCTCAATGTATTATATGAGATGATCAACATCTGTTTTTTTTCTTTTTCTTTTTTTTTTTTGAGACAAGGTCTTGCTCTGTTGCCTGGGCTAGAGTGCTGTGGCATCAGCCTCGCTCACAGCAACCTCAAACTCCTGGGCTCAAGCAATCCTTCTGCCTCAGCCTCCCAAGTAGCTGCGACTACAGGCATGCGCCACCATGCCCGGCTAATTTTTTCTCTATATTTGTAGTTGTCCAGCTAATTTCTTTCTATTTTTAGTAGAGAGGGGTCTCACTCTTGCTCAGGCTGGTCTTGAACTTCTGACCTTGAGCGATCCTCCCCCCTTGGCCTCCCAGAGTGCTAGGATTATAGGCGTGAGCCACCACGTCTGGCCTTCAACAACTGTTTTTAATATTCAATCATCAAAAAGGTAGAAGGCAGAAATACATTTTGCAATTAAATATGTGGCACTATATTTCCTTAAGTGGAAATCATGTATTTCCTCTAAATACCCCAATTTTTAAAAATGATCACTGTAAAAACTCACAGAACTAGTTAATTATTTTTCTACTTCTCTTTCAAATATTTCCTCGTATTTCCACCAACTTTCTGCCTAGTGTTCAGAAAGCTCCATGGATGCCTCAAACGCAGGGGTAGGGAGTGGTAGCAGGGAGGTGGTATTAAGAAATTATCATTATGAAAGGCTCAAAATGGCCAGGAAAACAGTTACCAGGCTAATACACCTGTTCAAGTCCATCTATTATCTTTTCTTTGAGCCATTTCATCATGATTTTTGAGCCAAAAAACATTCTATTTTTTAACTCTGCATAGTTTCTACAGTTCACTGAAAGCTAAAAAATGAGAGAAGACCCATTAAAAACTGTAGTTTTTCTGGATAATATACAACTTCTTACATCAACTTTCTGCTAGAAAAATAGTCCTTTTAGAATTGGATTTGGTCTTATGGTCATCTTCTCTGTTATACTTTATAAATGATATTTCATTTCTATAAATAATCAGGAAGTTAAACTAAGCCAATTAAAATGGAAATGCTAGATTTAAATTGACTTGAACAATCTGACTAAAATTATAACAAATCTCACACTGAGAAACCATCTACTAGCAAATAGAGAGGTCCTGTGTGTCCTTCCTTAGAAGAGTATGAACACTGAGAACCACAACACATTTGTAGCACAAGAATTCCTTTGTCATTATCATAAAACTTTAATTTTCATGTGCTTGGTATAACCAAACCATCCTATGTACTTCATACAATCATCTTTGTAAAGAAGCATAAACCATTTGGTTTTAGAGAATTAAGATTTAAAAAAAAGAGGACTTAAAAAGAAAGTCATTTTATGAATAAAATTTCCTTTGTGTTACTGCTTGAAAATCATTCAATGAATTTCACACTATAATTTTTTTTTTAAATAACTTGCGCACATAACAACACTTTTTATCTTCTTGAGGCAACATTCTCTTCTCCACAAAAACCGAATTAAGGACGTTGTACGAGTTTACTCTTGCTTCCTTCCTGTTCACTAAGTTTAAAGTGGGTATAGGCGAGAATGCCAAATAATGTACATAAAATGCCAAGACCCTGATTAATGGACAGTGGATCCTTAAATAAAACGTATCCTCCACATAAAGTAATGCAGAACTTGAAGTGTCCAAACATGTTATAGCTGAGGTTTTTGGATAAGGATAAAAAGGAATAACAAGATAGTTATATTTACATACACACACGCACACACACACACAGAGCAAAGGCTCCCTGTGGCTGCAAAGACTGCGCACGACACAGACTGAACAGCAGCCCGCTCCCTGTAAAGAAGAGCAACTTCAGTGAAGTGCTGGGACAATCCTAGCTCCTTCAGGTAGGCGTTAGTGATTACTCAGAGACGTGAAACTGCCTCAACTGTTCCCATTGACCTTTCCAAAGAGAAAAGGGCTGTAATATAAAAAGAAAGACACTCAGAACCAGGTCCGGAGAAGATATTTTGTTCAGCAATTTATGATTATGTTTTTTTTTTTTTTTTTTTTTTTGAGACAGAGTCTCACTGTGTTGCCCGGGCTAGAGTGCCATGGCATCAGCCTAGCTCACAGCAACCTCAAACTCCTGGGCTCAAGCGATCCTCCTGCCTCAGCCTCCCGAGTAGCTGGGACTACAGGCATGCGCCACCATGCCCGGCTAATTTTTTCTATATATTTTTAGTTGTCCAATTAATTTCTTTCTAATTTTAGTAGAGACGGGGTCTCGCCCTTGCTCAGGCTGGTTTCGAACTCCTGAGCTCAAACAATCCGCCCGCCTCGGCCTCCCAGAGAGCTAGGATTACAGGTGTGAGCCACCGCACCCGGCCCTATGATTATGTTTTATAGTGGCATTTCTGGTAAACTGTCCTTGGCACCAGAGAGCTGACTCAACACATCCAGTATGCTCAAGTTTAGGAGGGAAGAGGGGGAAAGCAAGAGGCCTAATACTAGGCACCAAATGCAGGCCAAGCACCGTGAGAGATGCTTTACATGGTACCGTCTTATCTAAGCATCGCATTTACCTTCACCGCAGTCTCACTCTTCCTATTTTACAATTGTAGAGGCTCAGGGAGTTTAAGTAACTTGCCCCCAGAACACAGACATGTTAAGTGGTAGTGTTGAAGTCCATGTGTAGTTCATGATCTTTTAAAGATATTCATACTAGAGGGAAGGCAATTTTAAAGAAACTCTTCATGAATTTTTAAATTAAACCCTTTTATAAATTAAAAAAAAAAAAAGCAGTGTATACATGGTATTTCCAACTCCTCTCTCCAGTTCTCACTCTGCTTCAGGGTAGGCTGTTAATCCCCCCCACTCCCCCACCCCACCCCCTGAATGTTCTTATCAAACCACCAGTGCCCTCCGCCTCACTAATCCCCTTCATCAGCTACCAGTCTCCGTTCTGGCCCTGACAGTGGCACCTAACACAGCTGCTCAGCCCTCCCTCCTCACCTGGATTCCACACCACCCCCTCCTCCGCCCACTCCTGGCTGCCGCTCCTCCACCTTTTCTACCCGGCTCCTCTCATTTCTCTGAACTCCAAACACTGAAGAGACCCAGGACTCAATCTGTGGACATCTTTCCTTCTTCCATTTGTTTGCTTGGTAATCTCAATCAGTCTCACTCATCTATATGCTGCTGATTCTCTGGAATAGCTCTAGCTGAGACCTCACCCCTGAACCCTCAGACTTACCCAAAACTGAGCACCTGGTCTTCCTCCCACCCCCAAACCTCCTTTGGGATGTCCTGCCTCAGTTGGTGGCAACTCCATTCACCAGGTTTTTGCTCAGCTCAAAAACCGTGTGAGTCAACCTAGTTTTCTCTCTTATTTTCCACATCTAACTGATCAGCAAAACCTGTTGGCGCTACTTGGAAATACATCCAGAATCCACTCCCTTGTCACTATACCCACTGCTGCCATCCTGTAATGAACCACCATCGTTTCTAAGTTAGAAAGTTTCTGTGGCCTCCTGACAGTCTCCCATGCCTCTTTTCATCCAGGGGTTCTCAACCACGGGTGATTTTGTCATGCAGGCAATGTCTGGAGACATTTTTGGTTGCCACAGTTGGAGAAAGGCTACGCACTGGCACCTATGGTGGAGGCCAGGCATGCTGCTAAACATCCTACAGTGTGCTGGACAGGCCTACGCAAAGAGCGGCCTGGCCCAAAAGGTCAACAGCACTGAGGCTGAGAATCCTGCTTTAGTTTATTCTCAACACAGAAGCTCTGAGTGAGTCCACTAGAATGTAAGTAAAATCACATCACTTCTCTGCTCAAAACTCCAACAGCTTCCCATCTCACTCAGCACTATAGTCCTTAGGTAATGTAATGTATGTAATGTAATGTATGTCCTTCCCTGTTGTTCCTTAGGGCCTCTCACTGCTGTTGCCTCTGCCTGGAACATCCTTCCCTCTGACCTGCACAGAGCAGCCTCATTTCCTTCAGTCTGCACTCAAAAGTCACCTTCCTGTTGAGGCCTTTCTGACTATCTTACCTAAAATCCCAACTCCGTCTCCAACATTTCACATTCTCTTCTCTGCTTTGTTTTTTCTCCTTGGCATTTAACACTACTCAACACTGTATATAAATATTTTAGAAATTTCCTTCTTTATAGTCTATCTTCCTCATCAGAATTTAAGTTTGTGAGGGCAAAGATTTTTGTCTATTTGGTTCACTACTGTATCCCCAGTGCCTGACATATAAATATTTTAAAGTCAGTATATAAATATTTTTAAGTCAATGAGTGGTTTATAGTGAGTATTCAATAAATATTTGTTGGATGAATGGATGTTTTTAATCAGGGCACATACTTGGATGCCTTGATTTGGCAGCATGATGCACAAGTTCGGGGACTAGACTACACAGGTTCAAATGTGGACACCACACTTCTCATCTGTGTGTGGCCTTAAGTCAGTTATTAATATTTAACCTCTCTGTACCTCCATTTACTCTTCTGTAAAATAAAATGATACAACTTTACCTTACAGAGCTGCTGTGAGAATTAAATGGACTAATACTCACAGAATGTTTCTAATAGTATATGGCATAAAATAAATATTAAGTGATGACTTTAAAAAATTATTAAATATCATCGTCATTTGATAGCTGGCAAATATGCCACTTATTTACTTTGTTGACATCTCAGTATTCACTCATTTATGTAAGTTAGTACTCTATGAGAAAATGTTACTGAGCTACTCTCTGGTTTGGGGAAATTCATTCTTTGCATTTGCCTAAGGCTGGGGGCAGAGTGAAATACAAAGAGAAACAGACAAATAGTAACGGTAAAAATGGGCAGTTGAATTTGATCTTCAACATATGATTTCATTTCATGATTTGAAATAATATTGAGAAAAACAGGCACACCCATATCCAAATAAATACAAAAACATACTCCAAAGTCAGATGCCAGTGGTCTGAAATTATCTTTTGTTATTTGGATTAACCACACCTCTACTTTGTTACTATAAATACCTGAAAATTGATTGAAAACTCAAACCTCCACCTCACTATTTACTCGACAAATATTTAATCTCACAATATGTAAGGAATGGTACTCTAAGTTAATTTTTATAAGGGAAGAGGTCACCTATTATTTAAGAAAATTCAAAACCATTCATAATACAGAAAGCTAACCCTTTTGCTCAGTTTATATTTCTTTAAAATTCTATGGACTCTAGTGTGGACACACACAATAAAATAATAAAAATTACTCGTCTCTACTTAATTTAGGCCATGCAATAGTTAGTGTGAGACTCCATTAAGGTAAGTAGTGAGTGTGACAGTTTTGGAAAACATAAGACAATGCATTTATAAGTTATTATGAAAAGGATACGTGACGGGTGAAGTGTTCCCAATGATCCAATAAATCGATAAGTTCACCATGAAAGCTATCACTCCAGACAGCAGCACCATAAGCTACAAATAAACCAAAAGAATCATTAATGCAAAGCACTGCAATCATTATAATCAAGTAAATTTCGTTAGGAAGTTTAAAAAACTCAAATATCAACTATTAACAATAAGATTAGAAATAGAGTCAATTTGGAAGATAACAAAAATTAAAGGTAAAAAAGTAGAATAAGGCCGGGCACGGTGGCTCACGCTTGTAATCCTAGCACTCTGGGAGGCCGAGGCGGGTGGATTGTTTGAGCTCAGGAGTTCGAAACCAGCCTGAGCAAGAGCAAGACCCCGTCTCTACTAAAAATAGAAAGAAATTAATCAGACAACTAAAAATATATAGAAAAAAATTAGCCGGGCATGGTGGCGCATGCCTGTAGTCCTAGCTACTCAGGAGGCTGAGGCAGGAGGATCGCTTGAGCCCAGGAGTTTGAGGTTGCTATGAGCTAGGCTGACGCCACGGCACTCACTCCAGCCCAGGCAAAAGAGTGAGACTCTGTCTAAAAAAAAAAAAAAAAAAAAGTAGAATAAATAGTGTTTAGAAACGTAATTCTGTCCACAAGAATAATGGAAAATTCTGCGATAATATCCTTTCTCTGAATGTGAATTTTCAGGTTCATTTTTCTTATTTCTCTAAGGAAAAATATCTTGTATTCATTTATTATAAAATACATACACATTATAGAATAATCAGAAAATAAAGATAAGCAAAAAGAATATAAGAAATTTTTATAATCTCATCCACCCACCCACACGTTAACATCTTGGCATATATCCTTCCTGGTCTTTTTCTATTGAATTGCTCATTTTTATTCTTATTTAAATTAAATCAATAAACATTCATTGCATGTCTACAAAATTAGGCCAGGCCTTGTGAGGAACACAATATGTACAAAGTTCCTGTCCTCAAAGAGCTTAGGACATAATAAAAATTGTGACAATCATAGCTTACGCTTACATAACACAGTGTGCCAAGAATTGTTCTAAATGTTTTGCATGTATTGATTCATTTAATCCTTACAAACACCCAAGAAGAAAGTATAAAAATATTAAATATTATTCCTTTTTAACAGATAAAGAAAGAGAGCATAGAGAGGTAAAGTAATTTGCCCAAGATCACACAGCTAATAAGTGGCAACGCTGAGATTTAAGCCCAGGCGGTCTGGTTCTGGAGTTTCTGCTCTTAACCCACTCTGCTATGCTACCTCTCACTCACATGAAAGGCAGAGTGCAATCCGACATTTACAGCTCAGGCAGTGAAAGAACTTAGTCTTGAGTTCTACATCATTAATAGGCAAACAGACAACAGGTTCCACACGAATCTCAAGGCCAAAAAGATCACTGTGGGCTGGGGTAGAGAGAAAAATCTTTGGATCTCAGAAAATATGTACAGAATAAAGGACGAAGCAGGGTAGGGTTCCAGGCGAGGGAACGACACAGGTCAAAGCGTGGAGGCATGAAAGTAACAAGGTGTGTTTATGGCACAGGAATAAACCAACTTGGCTGAGGACGGGGGACAAAGGGTCATGCTCATTTTAACCTATCCCATAATTTTATTCAGAAAGTTGCAAAATCATATTCTATTTCTGAAGAGAATTCAGATAAAATGCTAGTCATGATTTGAATTGTTAAGAAGTTTAAGCATCAAAGAAAACATGTCATATTTAAAGATCCTTTCTGTCCCATGTAGGTTTTATCAGATTTCAAATCAGTACAGTCAATAAAAGGACCAGAGCAGTTTGATCTGTGCCCTGTTTAGGTAAATACAGTTATATCTCATCTGATTTACAACTGTGAGGTCTGTTAAATATTCAACCGAGAGAAACTTGCTCCTTAAACATTTTTAAAACTGTTTCTAGAAATGTATCTAAAATTTATCATTTTAATTTGATTGAGTTTACAGAATGTTACATACCTATTTCTTGATGACCTGGCACAACCTTAGAAACACAATTACATGCTCTACTTTGAGTCAAGGATGCCCCCTAGGGACATTAAAGAATGAAGGTGACTTTCCCTTAAACTAAATGGCCTCAGCCTGTTAGCTTCTTTAAGTTTATTATGTCCTTTCTGCTGCCTTCCTCTTTTTTTTTAACTTATGTTTTTTATTTTGTTCTTTTTTTGATCACCATATACGACCTGAATGCCTTCCCCTTTTTTAAACCTGTTAGAGAGCTGCCACAAAAACTTTCTCTCCTTCTAGCTTAAGGTCTCCAGGCTGCAATGGTCTGAAGATTAGATAACCAAGATGGCTAGAACTTTTGAAAAGAGGAAATACCATCAGAGAGCTGGTCCAGTGATTTCTACTTCAGAAAAGAACATATATGATACAGTATATAAATTTGAAATAACTATTAGTCTACTTATGGGCAGCACAGCAGAGTGCTTAAAAATATGGACTTTGGACCAACTGCAGTGGCTCACGCCTGTAATCCTAGCACTCTGGGAGGCTGAGGCAGGAGGATCAGTTGAGGTCAGGCGTTGGAGACCAGCCTGAGCAAGAGCGAGACCCCATCTCTACTACAAACAGAAAAAAACTAGCTGGGCGTGTTGGCACCTGCATGTAGTCTTAGCTACTTAGGAGGCTGAGGCAGGATTGCTTGAGCCCAGGAGTTTGAGGTTGCTGTGAACTAGGCTGATGCCACAGCACTCTAGCCTGGGTGACAGAGCAAGACTCTGTCTAA